CTATATAAGGAACGAAATAGGTGGACTTCTCCACAAATCTGGCTGTCGCCTGATGAAGCTGGTTGTAATTACTGGCAAAACGTCGTACTCAGATTGTAAATGTTGTGGCTTGGCTCTCCAACACACCGGTGTGCTGTACTTGTAACGAATTCGCACGTTCTGTTTACGTGACAAACCTTACTAATTGGCTGTGTCGGGTGGTGGCGGGTTTAACGACACATTTATATATTTATGCGATCTAACCCAAAACACCTCTATTATGGACAATGAATAGTTTTAACCTGGAGGGGCTCTCCAAATCTCTCTCCAATGAAAACTCTTCCAAGAGCACTTGTGTCAGCAAGCGATTGCAGGGCTTGAACTTTTAACCTTTTTCACTTTAAAAAAAGATCCCGTAATTTCGGTTACATTTTAGGGTGAGTGTGCAAAACTTCAGATCTGTTGGTGTGTTTGTCGACAGGTCTCTCTGTACACAACAATGCAGGCGCGACGTGAGTACGGGCTGGTTGTGAGTCAATGATCTATGACTACACATTCAACGATTCATTTAGTGGGTTCGCTGGTACAACACACGAGTAGCCCTAATCTTAACCCAGGGGATTTCCCCACCCCCACTCCCGCCACGCAACTGTGAATAGAAAAACGCGAACACAGCGACGCCATCTGTCCACTGCGTTACATTAGCAGGTGAGCGACGGGGATGATGCCACGAGCACACTTTGACTTGCAATCCACAAGTCTTCGGGTTCGATCTCCCGGCACGGCGCTCGACATAATGGGTCGGGTATAGATTGGAGCGCACGCCCCATCCGTCTTTGTCCAACCAGCGGTACCAATAGGTAACGCCGTAGTTAATTGGCAGGGGAGCGTGTGCTGGGATAATGGGTACTTCCACCGCTTTCAGGACGTATTGCCAGCGTGGAAGAGTAGACCAAGATAGTATCCAGAGCGCCTTCTTCCGCCAGCAGTGGCGTGAGCAAGCAACTGCAGGGCTGCACCTTTATCATTCAAGGCACAAAAATGTGGAATGTTGACAAAATAGTGCGGTGTTGACTTTGTTACTAAATTGGCGAAATCAAGCAAAAGTACGTGAAGCAGACTTTAAATTTGCAAACATCAAATTAAAGTGTACTACCTGAATGGTTGGATATAAGGTTTTGGTTAACTAAAACGTTAAATAACATAAACAATTGGTTTCCATACTCGTTCATAGAAAAAAAAATCCTATTTTGGGACTGCTTTACAAAAGCTGCATTGCCACGTGTAGCTGCATCGTGATTATGGAACATTTAGAAGAATGTATTCGTGTTCATCTGGTATGAATCAATACTTAAACTGCGTAGATGGTATATATTTCTATAAAATCATCACAGAAAGCAGCTGGCAATAAACAGAAAAAATCCCAATAACACTGCACGATCTTGCGTGGTTATGGCATATTATTTCATCGAATGTTACACAATGAAGACCCAATACGATGCAGAAAATTAGCGTAATAAATTACATTACAATCTAACTGTATTACCATTTAAATGTGGGCGTTTTTTGTTGTTGCATTTGGCATCGGTGCCTCGAATACCGTCAAACAACAACAGTGGTCTAAACGTCCACTTTTGGGATTCACAGCAGCAGATTAAAGGTGTCATTTGTAGACGTTGTTATCCACTCGATTGTCCGTTCAGACGCAGAGTGGATCTGGCCGCTGTTCACGATGTGACGTCGATCGATTGGGATCGGTGGCCGCGCTCGAAGGTCGACGGAATCGTCGACGCGTCACTTGTGCATCACGTGACCGCATCGGCCTTCGTGGCACTGCAAGTGCCAATTCAACCCAACGCGGCTTTGAAATCATCAATATATACGTGTTTTCATTTCATTTGTGATCAATTATTCATTGCGGTATTGCGCAAGCCTTCTTCAACATTTATAACTATTTAAAGTCACTTTAACAACCATTTATGATAATAAAAAAACAGGTTACTTATTAGGGCTGTGCGTGTAGGGGGTTTACCCTGTTCAATATTTAACTACTTTGTATATACCACAGTGAGCTAAGGCTAATGCGTTTCAACTGCCCACTTGCTCCGTAAAAGTTCCTGGGTATATAGAAAACTTGTGCAATGTCTGCTTTACAAAACGTTCACAAATACACCCGCAGCCCATACAATTTGTTTTATTAAAAGATAGCAGTCCTTATAGTTTTAAACATTGTATACTAATATATGTATGATTTACTTTTAACATATATATGACTGAGCACTTTATATATTATAGAGGTGTACAGATGTAGAAATTCGTTTATGAAAGCATTGTCAGGAAGGGCATGTTTGGTAGATGCACGCATACGTGCAACCTGCTTTTTGGTAATCCACTGCCTCGTTACGCCTTGCACGCTGTGAGAGGGCTGATTTGACCATACTTCACCACGCTGGTCAAAGCAGGTTGAAGGTGGCAGGAGTGGGGAACAACATTGGTTTGACTGAACTGCCCCCTACTTCCCACAGCGCCCACTGCACCTACCTGCTACCCATGGTGGTCACTCATGCAAGCAATATCCAAGCTCCAGTCCTGCTCATTTAGCTGACGAAATCTGGCGCATTCTAGGTGAGGAATTAAACAACAAAGTGCAAACAATGCTTTACAAACTGAGGGGTGGGACTCCTCTACGTTTCTGGTCCTGGGCTATTGGTGGAAATTCCACATTTCCATGACAAACAACCACTATTGACACCCCCACCACCCACCACAGTCGTCACAAATACAATCCGGACATGATCTGGAAATCTGGACAGAATACGTTTGATAATTTGTATCATATGTGCATCGTCACTCAAGCAACCATTGGCTTAATAGACAGCACGCAGGCTTACGTGTAAGCACATCAACTAAATGCCGTTTCACAGTCGTCTCCTGGCTCCGAGGTGGCCTGGTAGATTGATCGTTGAATCCGTCTGTGCAGAGCGTTTGATCGTTACCCCCTTTCCTCGTGTGCGTGTTTTCTCCGGGCATCGTCCGGGTTCCTCCGACAAAGACACCCACGTTCGGAGGACCGGTCAAAAAAAAATACCGATGCAAGACACTCCTGGAAAATAGTCTTGAGACTCACTGAAGCTTCCCCCCATGAAACACTGCGAGTGGCATTGCAGTGTCAACATAAGCATTACATTCAGGTCAGCCAGTCTCGTCATATATTGTGGACTGAACTCATTACAGCAGTTCTTTCCAGACAAGCTGTTTTTAAAGAAAAGGTAATCAGAACGTTTTAGAGCTGAGCCGTCGCCAGTGCAAAAATTTACGGTTTTGCGACAGCTAAGGTTTATGAGTGCGTGTGTGTTCATAGGGCGTATGAAGAGCGGTGTCCCCTGCAGTGAAGGCAGTGCCGATGATCCCGGAAACGTGAGTTGTATTCCTGCCAATGCACATCACCATGCCTGGGTAATTACTACTGTACAGGCTGCTCCAGATGTCTTGTGACCCCCAATTAATTGACCCCTATCATTTTTTTCCCTTTGCATATCCATTTATGTTTGAAAAGAAAACAACCTTACTTTTTAAAATGTATATCAAGTTTTTGAGAATTAAATGGGGTCACAAGACATCAGGAGCACCCTGTACGCAGTGAGGGGTCGACTGATTAAATGCCAGTAGCTGGTGGAGGCTTTAGTGCTGGCCGTGTCGGCCTCAATAGGTGCTCGCAAACAACATTAAGCTACAGACACGGCGGTGGTGCATGTGCCGTGGCAGTTACGACAGCGTGCTCGCGATCAGCCTGGGCAGTGTGAACTCTATGGATAAATGTCATCACGAATAATCCGAATGTGGAGCGGTGGTGCAGCGGTTAGCGCACAGCGCTGGTAAGCGGACAACCGCGACGGCTGAGCTGAGTTCGATCCCTTCTCCCCCACACAGACGTTTACCCCACCCGTGACCCCAACCACAGAGGTTCGCTTCCCGACCACGGCTAACCATCAGGGGCGAGTGAAGCCCTCTGAACCGACTCTGGTCCAATATCATCAACGGCCCAACAGCAACCAACGTGGATGAAAGTGGAGTCAATCTTCCCCCCCCCCCTCCCCACGACTCACGCGGCTTGACAACGCCTTCATCCAGCAGTGAACTGACAAAAGGCTGCACACTCTTGCCTATTATGATGGTTATACGAACGACGAGTAGATAGCCGCTAAGGTCAACTCAGCCTTAAAATACCGGTGCAGACCCCACGTGGCAGCAGCAGCAGCCCTGGGGGATACAAAGGGCCGCCGGGCGTGGTGGTGCCAACACCCCACACACTCCCCACATTGTCTGGCTTCGCAGATGCTCGCGAACAGCACGAGACGAGCAGTCTGCGCATCATAAGTGGCCTTTTCTTGTACGTTGTCTTTGTTGGAGGGTAGGTGTAGAGTGTCCATTGAGATGCAGACGGGTACCCCGACAACAACCGCCCCCCTACTCACTCTCTCCGCAGCTACCTGCTCGCTCGCTCGCTGCTACGGCTGCCTTCGGGACATTTCTTGCATTAAATTCCAATGTAAAAATGTTTTAAGTGGTTAAAAAAAGACCCCCCTCCTCCTCCAATCCGTGCCTTCCCCCCCCCCCCCCCCAGTATATCATTCCAATCCAGCATCTCCCCCCCCACCTTTCCACACCAATACCCCGTCATTCACACACCAAGTGGCGGTGACGTCACAACGGCGCCCGTGCCAGGCCAGGTGCACCTTGAGGCCACGTGCAGTGTCGACGGATCCAACAGAAACCCCATCGCTGCGCGGACCCAGCCTACACCCCCCTTCTCTCTCTCTTATCTTGAACCCTGCTGCCAATGCAAAGCGTCCCAGCAGATGCCTATCAGAAGCAAACATGTCTACAGATAATGGCAGGGGGAGAGGTGGGGGAGGGAGGGAGGGAGGAGACAGGCGGGGAGAGTAAAGTAGATGGGGGGAGGAGGTGAATGAGTCAAAGGGCGGACGCTCCGGGGCTCATTGTCCTTCCCGCGGGCCAAATCGTGTGATCGGCGCCAGGACACGTTTAATTGCTAATTAGAGACACACACACAGAGAGCGAGTTGTCGCTGCTGCTGCTGAGTTCGTGAGCGCTCCGGCTCCGAGCCGCCCTCTTCGGCTGCGTCCGCACCGCCCCTCGTCGCCCGCGCACGGAGAGCCCCGCCCCGAGCCAGCCGTCACGACCTCTCAAACTCCTGCTGCTGCTCCTGCTGCTCCTGCTGCTGCTCCTGCTGCTGCCGCCTCCTCCTCCTCCTTGGTCGCAGTCCGTCCCTCCCCTCCCCCCGAAACCCCCTCGAGCAGCAGAGAAGGGCTCCAAGCTCGTGCGCAGCCGCTGTTGGGGCTCAGTTGCCGGGATGAGTGCGCGCTGAGAAGGAGAGAGAGACAGAGAACGAGAGAGGCAGAGAGAGGAAGGGAAGGGAAGAGAGGCAGAGAGAGAGAGGCAGGAAGGGAAGGAGAGAGGGGGGCGATACTCTTTACGCTTCCATAGCTGTGGACTCCGGCAACTAGCCGACGTTTCAGTTCGTGCCTTGGGGTTTTTCTTTTTAGTTGCATCCACACGTGCGTAGGTAGCAGCAGCAGCAGCAACAGCATAGACGGCCAGCTGGTACAACAGCAGCTGCTGCTGCACACGGGGGTTAGGTAGTTGTCAGCTGTAGGGGGAACGGACGCGGGTAGCCGGAGGTGGTTCAAGTGGCGCGTGTTGGATGGTGCTGGTCGCGGGGGGCTGACCGGCGGGGTTCGCGCAGGAAGGCGGCTCAGCTCGGCTCAAGCTCGGCGAGCGATCGAGCGCTTTGACGTGGGGTGGTTGCGTGGGTCAACGAGCGTCTGTGCGGCAAAGAGAAAGGGAACGCAGGAGTTTGTGAAGTTTGACACTCGTTTAGCGAAGTTACTCCCTCCACCCCCCCCCCCGCCGTTGCTGCGCTGTTTGGTACAAAGCGCAGCGTGAGACGAGGCGAAGGCTGCGGCGGCGTCGGCTGCGGGGTGATTTCTCTGCATTCTCTTGCCGAGAGGAGGAACAAGCTGGGGAGGGAGAGAGGGGGGCGAACGAGCAACTTTACTCAACGGCAGAACAAAGAGCTGCGCTCGGGAAGGAAGCCTCTAACTTGTTCCTTACGACCGGGCTGTGGGCAGTTGTCCGGGCAGGCTGTTAGCTCGGTACCAAGCGGGCAGCGACGAGGGGTCGAGTGGCACGTTGAAAACAAAACGCCGGCACCGCAGCAACGCCAGCCAGCGAGCTCATCATGCGCTGTTTAGTGACGTTAGAGAAGTGGTGGTGGCGGCGGTGGTGCTGATACGGGGTTCTGTGTTCGAGGCAGTCGCAGTTGGCGATAGAGTCAGCAATAGGACCGGCAAGCGTAAGACGAAGGGAGCAGAACGCTTTGGGTCACTCTGGCTGAATTCCTTCGGCGTTGGTGTTGTTATTATTATTGGGTCAACACTCCGACCTGAACGCGATGGAGCGACTTCCGAATGTCCTGGCGCTGTGGATGCATTTGGAAGTGTGGACCCTGCTCCTGGTTCTGGCTAAAGGTAAACGCTTGTGGCTGAGCACACGGTTACGTGGGGTGCCAAACGTCTCTTGTTTTTGACTTGTGTAATTGCGTGTGCACACACACAGTGTTGTGTATCTGTTCAAACAAATGTGCGTGTGCTTTATATACACAGTGTTACGTGTGTATGTCAGTAAGCGTTGCGCGCTGTGCGCTGTGTTGTCGTGTACACAATGCGTTACGTGGATTGAACTATAAGCTGCACGTGAACTGTATTCAACCGCATGTGTGCGTGCTGCGTGATATGCGCGCGCACACGCACAATGCTGTGTGTGCGTGTTCAAAGATTTGTGCGTGGTTTTCCCCCCCCCCCCACTACTCTTGTTTGAGTTACTGGCGGAGGATATCTTGTGCTGCCATCTCTGGTCTGCACGCACGCACACAATCCGCGTCTGTAATGGCTATCTCCAAAGCGGCTCCTGCCGCTGCTTCTGGTACCATCCAGCACAATTGTTGGGGTGCAGTGATAGGATAACTGCCAAAGGTACCGCAATAGATGGCTGCTATGAGTAAATACTTTCTGAGTCGAGACGAAGAGTTTGGACGGTCAAAAGAGCCCTTGCTGGTTTACACATTCGGCAGCCTCCTTTGCCAGTTGTGTCCATTACACATTCCCACAGTGGTGTTTAAGTGTATTCCACATGACCACGACTGGCTGACTTTCCACAAAGTAATGCTTTATCAACCCCAGAGGGATGAAATTATTTGACCGGTTGATCGGGATTTAAAACTCGTAACCTTTTGATCGCGAGTTAAGCGCTGTAACTGCTCTGGGCTGGACTGGAATGCTTTAAATGATCGTAACTTCTGTGGCTTAAACGAGGCAGAAATATTAAAACGTAGTTGGTAATGTGTGCGCATTCTGATAATTGGTATCGATGTAAGGGCAGTGCGTGATTACTCCATATGCCTGTCAAGACTTTTCAGACGTTAAACTCGAGTTTATATGCCCTCCATCTCAGCTGTGTTTACTGCCCTTGAGGTCATCACGTGTCTTCACATAGCCCACACATGCCTAAGTAGCGGCCTGTATAACGCAAACTATATTGTAATTGTTGGCCATCATGTGGAGTAACTGTACCCCACCATAGCAATGTGGAATTTCCACCACTGGCTCAGGGCGGTAGACGAAGATGCATAGTGCAGTACAATGTATGTATGCAGTATACGATTAGGCAATGGATCATGTCCTTGGTAGAACAATTGTGTGTGTGTGCAGGGTTGAGCCGGTTACTGCGAGATGGGCATTGGAGTGGTCTCCATGAGTCTACCCATGCGCAGACGGCCAGAGATCGTTAGGGCAGATCTTGGAGGTCACGTGTGCAGCAGGAACTGTGGGATCTGGAAGAGGGCAGTAAGAGTTTAGCGAGGCGTGGTGGCAGCATCAGCTTAGGCCTTACAGCTCCAACGTTTTGATCTTGTGACCTGTACGCTATCGCAATCATTATTTATGTTGGAGGAATACGACGAGATACGAAGCTTTTGTTTCACATATGTCTGGGAGGGGCGGTTCAAAAAGTTTCCAAAACAAACAATTGAAAGACACGATAGGAGTGCAAAGTATAGGGAAAGTAAGTAAGCACATCAGTAAAAAACTATTTTAATTGTACCAGGTAAGGCCCACTGAGCTATGCCTCTTTCTCAGAAGTGACCTGGCCACAAATGACAGCTGGACGAATTGGCTTATAACGTGGAAATGTATAGCATGAGAGAGGGGTTAGGAGGTTGCTACGATTGAGCGTGAGAACATTTAGCTTGACCAGGCAAGAACCCTTTGAGACGAGGAGGCTCTACTTTCAAGGGTAAATCGAGTTTAAATGAGTGAAGAACAGCAAATGCCATTGTATAATTACGCAGAAATCACACAAAAAATTAGATTGTTCAACTCACAAATAATGTTCAATTCATGTAATAAAAATTTCGATTTAAAGCTTTCGTGGCTGCAGGGATTCATATTCTTGGATCTTTCGGTAAAGTAACGTAGAAGGGAAATAATAAAATAATAAAAATAAAACAATTAAATTCTGACGACGTTTCGGCCACAACACAAGCAGCCGTCCTCAGGATTACTCTTGATCTAAACCCACAACAAAGGCAGCGAATGCATAACATAAATAGTCAGATTGCAATTTACCAATTTAGAAGTACATATTTTATTCAACTGGTTCAGATCTTATTGATGTCCCATTTGCGCTTTATAAAGAGACTTATCAAACAATAGTTACTCTACACAGGCGCGTCTCATCGCTTGTTCGTGTTGTAGTTGTTGTGTGTACGATTCATTCAGTGACTTCGTACACAATTGCTTACTCTCCTGAAGGATGCACAATTTAATGCGATATCGTTTTTGGAAAAAGAATACATCTGCACAGCCGCAGGGATCTAAACGTCAAACTTTGTACAAACGGACACGGTGCAAAGATTACGAGTCTATGCGCCTTCTAAATCCAATGTATTCCAGCAGCATTTGTGTAAGCTGGTCAGATATTCAGAGGTTTATATTTACTGAGTGTCATCAGTGCATAAGGTACCAAGTAAAACAACCTCGCCGCACAGCTTCCCCGCATAAACAAATGCTGCTGGGACACATTGGTTCAGAATTCACACGTAGGCTGGTGGGCTCCAATGCTGTTTATGATGTATATTTTTTGGGGGTTTTGTTCACTCACAATCCACCGTGGCAACAACACATGTAATTTGGAACATATGGTAGATACTGTATATCATGAATTGATAATTATTCATTAGAGACAATCTCAAATGTTCAAACTCTCTGTGACCTGCTTACATAATATAATTGAGCATGTTCATGCAATCCATGCCATGACTACTTGCATATATTTTTTTTGTTATGAGTGTGTTAAGTACTCCACGATGTCTCTTAACATATTACACTTGCCCTGTCAGACAAGCACCCGCTGTGAGTGCTGCGATGTTTACAAGAGGCAACACTGGGATAAAAATTATTTATTTGACACCATTTTGGCAGATTAATTTGACACTTTTCTGCAATGCAATCGGAATATGCAGGCTTTGCCATCACAAAACAGATATTCTAACAAGTAACAAGGGTTTGCTTTGAAATCAATAAATCCCAATGTTGATGAAGAATTGATTCAAATGCTGTAAAATACAGAAAACGCGTATTGATTCACATGGCCTCTGAAGGTCACGGGAACATTGTATTAGTGGGATATTCGCAATCTGACTATTTATGTTATGCATTCGCTGCCTTTGTTGTGGGTTTAGATCAAGAGTAACCCCATAGCTCTCAAAGCAATCAATGCCATTCTATGGAGTGAGCATTGCCGCTCAATAACCAGTCTGGCTGCACGCCACTGCCCTTAATCAGTGGGACGATCTTCACGTGCCTGCCCTTGTGTTAGCGAGCGGTGGCACGGCCCAGCGGTTTGTCGCGGAGGGTCACGATTTCATTTCAGCGGTCGCCCTGGTTATTAACCATGAGCGTGTTAACCGCAACAAGTACACGCCGTCTGCTTCACAGTAGACATTACAGATCGCATGCCATCTCATTCGCGAGTGTAGGCCACTGTGTGCCAGCATCGTGGTCCCAATTTGGCAAGTTTGAAAATGTGTCCCAAATGACTTCATTTGGGACTGTACGCATCAAACATTGCTCCTTTATTGAAAATAAAAGTGGGGAGGATCCTCGTGAAAGAGGGTCACGAGTCTCAGTGAGGCTTTCCTGGGTAAACAAGTGGAATAATAATGGGAGAGAGGGATTTGAAAATGATCCTACGTGGAAAGTGGGCGATGTCTCCTAAGCACCTCATGCCCTCCCTGCTGCCTGCTCACTCCCAGGGGTAAATTTTTTTTTGCCAGAATTGAGAAATTACAACAACCGGAAGAGCTCAAGTTCTGCTACGTAGGATTTCACGGTTGTGCTGTATAATGTTACTTGGGATGATGTCCAGTATTTTTTTCCGCGTTCTGGGTGCAAAACGTTGGACATCATGCTGAATAACCTAAAACACATCCAAGAACCGCTCTGGCTGCTGTAATTCCTTTGTAGAGCAGAAATTATCCACTTTCCATAAATGTGTTGTTCAGACCAACTATACACCTATTTTATTTGTAGATCTGTGATTCTACACTGCAGTATATTGACATGCTTCCTATTCTGTCATGCACTGGATTATGAGCCACACTACTTTATTACATTATTACAATGGAGTTACTGGATTATTATTCAAATGTATGGTATCAGTGCTGTAGTACACGATATTGTTCTCCACACTGTTTAGTTTTAGCAAACGTCTTGATCTAAAGAATATTGACAAATGTGATTGTTTTAAACCTCAAGTATCCTTGGCAGGCTTAAAAAAATCGACATTTGAGGAATACCTTTGTATTTTTTTTATTACTTAAGTATTGTGGTTATTGGTGTAATAACAGCCCTTTGTCAATCCACTGCTGAATGAATGCCAATAACACAACACCATTATCAGTCATGGGGGTTGTTTGACCATACTTCACCACGCTGGTCAGTGTGGGTTGATGAATATTGGGGGGGGGGGGGGGGGAGCGGGACTGGTACAGATATAACTCGCCACTGATGTTAGCTATGGCCAGGAATTGAACTTGGGTGCTGGGTTCACAGGGCAGTGTGATCACTAATCCACCCCATCTTAAAAATTGCAACGGATCCATTGATGTGACAGTTGTCATTCGAATGACTCAATTAAGTTCTTCTATTTCTTCCAGTGACTTCTTCTGTCGTTTATTTCCATTGTCTCTCTGAACTTTATCTCCCTTGGCCAGTCCCACTGCTCGAGGGCGATCTGTAAATACAGAGCATAAGAAAGTAGCATACGAACATAAAGTAACACAAAGTAACCCAACACAATAAGCAAAGTAATAACAACACAAGAGTGCCTCCAATCTCAAATTGTTAATGGCACAGTGTTCATCCCCATTGGTGGCACTGTACCAATTGTGGAAATTCCACAATCTTATGGC